CACATGTGGTCCAACTTCTTTGGAGCTGAGGGGTGGAGAGGATGATGAAGAAAAATGAGTTTCGTAGAAGAAAGTTAATCATAGTTTGGATTGGGGTTTGTCTTTAATCAGATTATGTGAAGCAAAACCAGGATTTAATTTGGCTAGCACATGTTGGACAGGTGAACACTCCATCAGGGGTACAGCTACAGTACCACTTTGTAACCAGATTGAGAGCTTTGGTGATAAAGATCCAGCTGTATCAGATCCAGTCAGAGAGTTACTGATCAGTAAATTTGACAAGTTGCAAGGCAAGACAATGCTGGAAAATGGGCTGATGGCTCTTCCTCATAAAGCCCTTTTAGCTTTCTCTACTTTTCAGCTCCAGATGATTGTGCGATTGGCCCTGTTGCTCTTGGCTCGGTTGGTGGAAGAGGAGCAGCCTCCAGGCCCAGCCCTCCTCTGCTCTCTCAGCCACTGGGAGGTGAGCTCCGCAGTGGGTGTAAAATACTACTGGGCAGATATATTTCTCCAATGAAATATGGATGTACAGTAAGCCTTGTGTGAGCACACTGCTACCTGTGCATGTGCATCTGCATAAAGTTAACTGGACACTCACTTAGCCACCACAGACTGGGTGGCAATCCAATGCTGGAAAAGCAGCAGCAGTATCTCCTACTTGCTTTTTGTCCTATCCCTCCTTCTGTGCTCTTCTTCTTGCCAGTGTTGGTGTAGCTTGTGTGCAGATAACATGCAGGGAGTCATGTGGCGTGTATCTGTTCTGAGCACAAGAAGTGAAGGAAATGAAAAACCTAACTATTTCACAAGTGAGATAGGAGTCAACAAGTGTAACAGGAGGAAGGTTTTCACAAAACGAGGCTGTAAAACTGGCCTAACAAGTACTGCTGGTATAATAAAAGCTAGAAATACCAAATAAAACTGTCCTCATTAACAAATCTGTTGCAAAATAGTTCCAAGAAATGTGTTTATTTGCTTTCTTACACTGTATGGTTAAACAAGAAGCAATTTAACCAGCAGCAGGTTAATTTAGCAACTTTACTGAAAACAGCTAGCTTGGCTCTGGCCAAATTGGTAGCAAGATTTGTCTATCAGCACCTCTCACTTATTAAGAAGTTAATGTTATTTGTTTATTCTATATAAAGCCCTGCACAAAACAATCAGGCCATGAAATCTCAAATGGCCACTTCAGTTATGTACAGATTAAATAATGTAGGTGGAGTTTGTTACATTTGACTGAGCCAGATTAGTATTTACCCTGTCTTTCAGTCTTTGTGCTAAGCTAGACATCTAATGGATCTAGCCTTATATAGAGGGCCTAAATTGTCACACCCGAACTACAGTAGCTACTGTATCTCACTGCAGCGTCTCACTTTGACTCTTTCCTCTTGATGGTTATTACAGACATGTATGCACTCACTATAGCCCTTAGACTCACTTATGAACTCATTTCTTTTGTCAAGTTGTGACACTATACCTGTGATATTATAAGGCTTATTGTAAATATTGGTGTTCCTTGAAGACTGCTAAAACCTGAAACCAAATATTAGGTTGTTTTTTTTTTTAAGTTACCATCCTTATCTACGGAATCAGCCACATACCGTTATGAAAGGTTACATTGAATTTTAAGGTATTTGCAATATTTGAAATATCAGGGGGATTTAGGGATTTAGAGGTTGTTGGCAAAGAACAGCAAATAAACTCTTTTCTCAATAGCAGTGTGATAGTTCTCAACCTTGAAGTGTCTTTTGATGCTGTTGCCAACAAAAAGTGTTTGGTTGGCGCACTGAGCTGCAACAGAGATAGAGCAGAGGCCGGTAAACTGCTGAAAAGGAAGCATCTCCAATGGAGCTGACCGGGGCACACTTACATGAAATCTGGAGAGTTTGGCCTGCTGACAAACTGACAGAACCGTCATCATCAGTACTTTCATCCTCCTCCTCCTGTCAGTGACCCACATCCACCATTAGATTCCACAACTTATTTCTTGGCTTCTATTCTGGTGTGCCAGTGGGTTTAACAGGGGCACAAGGGTATGTTTTGATAACACGGATGCGAGTGTATTGTACCCAGTTTCTGTCGTCCTTTGTTGGAGCCAACAAAAATTTTCCTGCCCTATTTGGTAGCTCACCCTCACCTTCACTCTCTCCTGGCTCCTGGGTGGGTGTTAATTATTCATAGGCCAGGGATAGCTAACTTGAAACTGATAACCCACATGCTATTTTTACTTCATTTAAAACAAATACTTAACTGTGAAGTTCCAGGCAGCTTGGTCGTGTCTGTCTGCATAGCTGCTGCTGGGCACAGTGAAGGGATTGAACATATGGGTGTGGCTGAGCGTGCGGGTGGGAGGGGTGCAGGGGGTTGTCTGTCTACTGGGGAGAAAGGTTGAATCAGCAGCTGCTTGCTGTTGGTGAGACAAGGCAGAGCACAATAGATAATTTATTAGCTTCAAATTAGAGATATTTGTTCTCTTTATTTCTAAATGTGTATTTAATGAATTCCACCAAATTAAGAATTATTCCTAATCACAACTGTAATTTTTTGTGTATTGTGCAAGACTCAATTCACCCATGGGGATCAGTGCATCTGAAGTGTATTTACCACATGATAAAGAAGGAAAACACTCAGTATATCACAGGCCAGTGTGGATTACACTTGACAGTTTTATTTGGAATATTAAGACAATGAAGCATAAGCCAAGAACCACGTGACAGCTACAAGTGCTGCATCTTACAGCTCTTAAAATTAAACAGGTTACACTGGAAAAAAAACTGTTTTCTTTGAATGATGAAGCAGAGACACAGAGCAGACAGTGAGATGTGACATGATTATGCCATTTACACGCTCCACATCCTACCTGACAACAGCAGAAGAGAACGAAACAGAGATATTCATCTGACGGCTGCTCGGTCAGCCTACGGCACAGACTGTAGCCCGGGATTTAAAGGGCTCTCGTGATTGGTCAGAACGAATAAGGCAGAGTGACAACTATTAGTTCCCATCACTGTCAAGTCCTGTTGCCTCAGCACCTACATCCACACAGCAACCAATGTGCACATATAGCATTAAAGTGACAGACTGCAATCATTGTTACACTCCATTTGCATATTAGGGAGAATAATAAAAAATTATTTCATACATCTTTGTTTGCATATAGCATTTAGCCCAGCTTTTAAAAATATATATGAGATCATGAAAAAAATGTTTTAAATCTTTGTCCTTTAAGAACTGAAACCATGAGTTGTACCAGAGATGTTTGTGGGGGGGGGGGGGTGGGGGGGACAGCTAGTGACACAACCAGTCTGTCTCTCATCCAGACCAGACCCAGTGGTTTCTTGCCACAAGGCTCTCATAGTGCAGCTAGTGTCATACTAATGACAATGTAAGATTAAAAGAGTTAAATTCACGGCGTTTTGTTTTCTAAGAACCTGGAATATACATGTAAACACCCATCTGTTATCCCTTTCGAGGGAGGAGTAACACAGAAAGGTGGTGCTGGCTAAATGTGGTCCATGTTTGTGTATCCCTGGCTTAAGGTGGGGCGATAGGAGGGTGTGGGTGTGTGTCAGTACCTCAGGTAATGCAGGTGTGGTAGGTAGTAAGTGTGTGCAAATGTATGTGTTCCAGATACTTAATGCACCAAAGAATTAATGTCTTTTCATCCTGCTCCTATTACACAACTCCATCATACATACAATGTTTTCTTTTTCTTGTAAATATGTGGGTTATATGGCAAATGTGCTACAGGTAATGTCAAATATTTCCCATGGGGAAAACTGGGTTGAGAGGGTCCTGGGACTCTCCTAGCAACGGACCTGCCTGAGAATAAGGAGGCTAGAGGTGGGACAAGGTTAGAGGCATTGTTCATAGGAGTCACTTTGAAATCGCCCATCACACACAGAGGGTGTGTGGCTCTGTCCATACACAAATATACTCCCACACAAAAAAGTCTACAGTATGGTGGAGAACACAACTCCATCAAACAGAGCTTATAACCCCTGAATATAAGTGAAATATTTTAGGACCACACACACTCACGTCTTGTCATCTTGGGCTAATACACATACAGTGCTGTCTAAGTATTTGGACAGTTGGACAGTTTCGTTTCAGTGCAGAACAGTGAGTGTTCACATCCATACTGGGTGTACAAAGTGTCAACTGCTGTGTTTTGGGTGCTTTCTCCCTTGATTCAGGTTTTGAAGGTAACTGCTGAAGAACCTTACCAATGACATGATGTCTGCTCATGTACATGTATCAATTTAGCAGTTAAGCATGTTTAACCAAATACTAAATATACTTTAAATATGTTCAATTTGCATAATTCTTAGGGCACTTTGTACAAAACCTGGTACAATTCCTACCAGTCACCTAATACAAATTCTTAAATTAAAGCTTTAAGTTGTCACTAAGCCCACCTGTGGTTTCAAATCCAGTATGCTTGAGTAGTGTCAACAGGAAAATATGTCACTGTCCCAGTACCTGCAGACTGCACTGTACAACACAAATACACAAAGTGCCAGTTACTTCAACAAATCCCTAGCCCTCTGTGTGAGCATGATGTTGCCACAGCAGGAAGCCAGGGCACTCAGTGCGCCACTCTGTTGCTCCTCCTGCTCATTAATGTGAACTTAAGTCTAGGACAATCAGGCCTGATGCACACTGTACACCATCAGTGCACTGATGTCAGGCATGCAGTTTAAGAAATTAACAAAAAAAAAAAGTCTCCCTCATTCATGTAGCAGCTGTGAAGCGACACAAGAGTGGCCCTCAGTACATTTCTATCTCAGCATGGTAAAATTAGCCTGTGCTTGGTGCCTCTATGTGGGATGTGGCATGGTAGGAGTTGTCTGCTATTGCTAGGCTGTATTATGACAGACATATACTCACCAGCTATTTTATTAGTCACACTTGTACAATTGTATGCACTTCAATGCAAAACTTCAACACCTGTGTTTATGAAGCTCAAAATGTTTGTTTTTGGTGAAATTGTCAAATTTAATACAATAAATTCGATTATGTTTATTATTGAGGTCATATTTAAAGATGTACTGAACTACATTATATTCAGATGTGTCTCTATTTTTGTCCTACCTGGTTACATACATGAGAGGGTCAGAATATTAGATGTCCGTGCAGATTCTCAGTCATCCAGGTCATAGTAAACTGAAAAAAATCAACTGAAAATCTAGACTAGAAATCTAGTCAAGTTGATTTTTTCTAAGTTTTTTCAGTCAGAATACTAGGAACACCTCTGAATGTATTTCTATTTGACGGTGCGGCTGCTAAAAATCCTGAAACATAAAAGTACGTATGCAAGCAATGCAAATGTCAGCCTCATGTCTGTTGACCTAATAGTCACTCCTGCCAAGTGAACACAGAGGATTCACAGGCACTACACATGCCTATGACAGCAAAGTGTAGGGCAGTGGAACAGGTTTTGGACTTTCATTGTTAACAAAATGTCTATCCACAATACAATAAAGAAAGTAAAATTTGGTAGGTGACATATGAGAAAAATTAACCTTTTATCACCTACCTACATAAAAATGTTTTGTAGTGCAGGAGAACTGTTCAGCAGAGGGAAGGCATTCAGTATTGAGTTTGAGGGTGTACATGTAAGCTTGACATGGCCAGGTTCTCCATCATGAATATCTTTTAACACAGAGCAGCCTGACAGTACATACTGTTGTATGCACCTAGTACAGGACTAGCTTTCATGTTTATAAAGCTGAAATATAATTAAGCTTATTTTAATACCACACATTAGTCCTGTAGTTAATAGCTGTGTGCAAAGAGCTGCTGTCGGAGACTCATCCGTTCCTGGGCAACAAAATGTACACGACTCATCCTTAGGGATGAGAACTAAAATAACATTTAGTGTATGTGCAGGCTGATAGACCAGTGCACACACAGATTAAATTATGAACTAGTTTGAAAACTTTACATCTTAACCTTTCCAGTGATCATGATTCCATGTGTGTTTCAGCCTTAAAATGTGATTTTTACCAACAGGATCTTTGTCTGCATACTTTCCAGTTAACCGTATGTACGTTAGGAAAACGTTCTCTAAACACGTTAAGGGACTTTCTCTGCGTGCAGCTACCCATCCTGCCAGTCACATGTGTGCATTTCATTTAATTACTTTAAAAAAAAACCCAGGTAATATTGATTTACAGTACTGCTAATTGAGAGCTAGAACAAACTGATGGCTAACTTGGGCATCAGATGGTTGATTAGTCTGACTAAAACACTCACAGTGAAGAGTTAACTGTCATGCTGTCATTAGGATTTGTTTGTCAAGTTGCATGCTGCTATAGAATCTACATGTGAGGGCTGGTCAAACATGGAAATCTGAAATCTGCTACAGTAGGGCTGGCATTGGACACACCAACAACCTAATTCTACTGTACAAGCCATATTATAACAAAAGACTAATGCATGCATTAGTGAGTGAGAACAGACGCAACTTATGTATAACTTATTTCAATAACTTGTCGTAGCTCAACCGACGTAGCACCAGTAGGGTTTTTTCCTGTTACAAAAACAATGTGCACCATAGACAGTGAGCTTGGAGCTCATGCACCTTTTTAGTATAATTCTGTTCAGTCTCATTTGATGACATCTCAGTGCACCATGCTGAAACATCTCCTGCTTCAGGTTTGGACTACAAAGCAACTGGTTGTGGAACAAGATGATTCCCTAAAAAGGCACACAGGTTACACTATTTTCTCTTCATGCTGAGAAAAGAACAGAAATGATCAGGCAGACAGCAGCACCTTTGTCCTGAGCCACTCGGTACGTCACTCCCATCATGTAACTAAAGCTCTCGAAAATATGCCAACATCTTAAGAGTTTGTTGCCTGCCCTCAGTGCTGTGTTGGGGTTGTGATAAGTGGAAACATGAGGGGCATCAAATCCAATGAAAAGGCTACATGACATGATTCTTGTTGGGGACATTAAATAAAACTGCTCAACACATTTTAACATGGTTTTAAATTAAATATAAATTTAGGAGGAAATGGGTGGCACTATCTAATCGTGGGAGTCCAAATTGTCAAGAATAAACTGTCACAAAAGTATTGTGCAAGGTCTGCTGTCTTCCCCATTTATGATCTTTTACTATATGGGGTCTCACTTAAAACAGTCCATTCCCATTCAAACAGTAGTATGAGCAGATTAAATCAATTACCGCTTGTCAATTCCTCAGAAAAGACTTAGCATTCCTTATCATAGCCAGAGTGCAAAGCTGATCAATGTTTCAAGTGCCTGGTGAACTAAACACTACAAGGCAATAACACTATTCCTTTAAAGACACCAGGCTGGCACTTCATTTCCAGGATGTGAAGTCCTCAACTCTATGGACCGTCTCAGAATCTGTCCCTGTCTCAGCTGAGGCTCATGCCTGTAAAGAGATGGCAAAATGTGCATTATGTGGCTCTTTCCATGGGTCAAACTCTGAATGCAATATACCAGGGAGGTGCTCCACTAGGTGCTTTGATGAGCTAAGGAAGAAAATAAAATAAAGGAAGCACAAAGTGAACTGTACAACATAGCCATATGGGCCTTAACAGCAATTTGGGTTGAATGGGAGAAGAGTGCAGGCAGGTCTACAGGCAGGGTGATGTTGTGGGATCAGGCAGACATTTAGCACAAAGCAGGAAAGAAAAGACACAAAGCAGTGATATTTGTGCCTTTCCACCTTAACATAACAACCTGTTCAACACAAAAACATGCTTGCCAGACAGCATTATACTGAATATAATCATATGTATTTCCTGTGATGCAAGTAACTATAACAAAGATTAGAATGAATCTTGTATAGCTTGTTACATGTAAATTCCATCAGATAGCTATGTCAGTCTAGCCTCTAATTGGCTAATGAGGAATTTCTCAAGTTCTGTAATCCCACTGAAGTCTGTCAACAGGCAATGGAGAAGGCTGCCCTATTTGACCTTGAGTGGCGGTTCCCTCTCTAGCCAGCGAACTCGTACTTTCTGTTTATAGTGATACTCCTTGAGGAAGTCCTGCAGGGCAGGAGGTAGCGGCAGAGAGCCTATACCATCATAAGTGCTCCAGCGGCATATGGCAGCTCGTGCCAGGTGCTGCAGGCCAAAAGGAAAGGTTCGATGGAGGGGTGCTGTAAGCAGCGGTTCAAAAAACATACAGGCGCTGGGGTCCTTGTAGTGCTCCAGCAGTCCTGTTACAGTTGAAGAGTGGAAAACACAAGGGTCATGAGCATCGAAGCTGAAGTTGTGATTCCACTGCTCGATGCGGGCGTGCAGGGAGCGGTTGTAACGGCGGAAGCTGACAGAGAAGAGGTAGTCCTCCTGGGCTGAGTCACGGAGCAGGAAGGTGCCCTCTGGCCGTCCATCCAGCAGCGCCTCAGCCTCGTAGCGGTCCATCACACCCCAGTAGCAGGGTAGAGCTGTGATCTGTAGTAGGTCTGGAACCAGGCAGTGGATGTAGTCTATCTGGGTATGAACCTTCCAGGGCCCAGGCTGCTGCCGATTTAGATGGCTTTCTCCAGAGGCATGCCTCTGCTTGGGCCTCCTGGCCTGCAGACACAGGGTGGTTGAGTCCTCCTCAGAGTCATGATCCTGGGCTGATGCTGAAGCCCCCAACACCTGCCCACAGGCCCCTGATGATCCAGCACCCACAAAGCTGACAGTCCCTGACACCCTTCCATCCCCAGAGGCCTCTCCCATGCCAGGAGCCATCTTTGGTCCCAGTTTGTAGAGAGAGGAGCCTGGCACGGAGGCCTCCAGGGTGTGGATCTGTGCATTAGGTGGGGGATCCACACCTTCCTCAATGCTAAGTCTGCGGCGCTCACGGAGACGCTCCTCTTCATCCTCAGGCGAGGGGTGGGCTGGGTCAAAGATATCCAGCAGGGCAGTGGAGGAATGCGGGCTGACTGGTGCTGTGTGCTGCTTGATCAAGTGCCACTTGTGAGCAAGGTCTGAGCCTGGTGGAAAGGGGCAAGTCTCCAGCATGAGCTCTGTCAGGTGAATCTTACGTTTGGAAGTGACAGGGTTCTTGGATGAGCAGGAGCGTCTGCGAGAGGGCAGGGGTAAGCACAGTCCTACTGTATCACTTAGTTGCTGGCGCAAAGAACGGGCATTCAGACTGTGTCCTCCAGATACAGACTCAGTCATCTCCTGGATGGAGCTGACTCCATAATGCCTGTCCATAGGGTTACCACTACCCCGTAATCGCCCAGACCGCCTGTCTCCCTCCAAAGAGCTGTGTGTTTTAGTGGAACATGAATGTTTTTTCTTGCCCCCCCATGGCGCGTGGCGGGAATAGGAGTCTCTCCGGGCCAGGGGAACACCCTCTGATCCTCCTCGTACATCCTCAGTGTCTTTGTCAATAGTGATCTCTACTATTTGGGGGATATATGACACACAGTTGTGATGGCGGCATCCAGCTGTTGCCATTGGCACTGGTAGGAGGCTCCTTGATGGGCTGGAGGCTCCTGATGCCTGCACCTCATCTGAGCTGCCTCCTTGGCCGAGATCCAGCACA